CCATTCCCGATGGAAGTGACATTGCTTTTGCCGCCATCCGTTTCTTCTTTGAGCACGAGGCGGCTTTAAAAGCGTTAGAAGAGGCAGGAATTGAGGAGGTTGAAAGCAGGTTGAAAAGAAAAAAAGATGAAAATAAAAACAAACCTGAAACTAAAAAACCTGAAGAAGAGGAGAAAAAGGTGAAATTCAAAGAAGACGAAAATAAAAGCGATGAAAACAACAACAATAGCAACAACGTAAACAAGGGTGAAATTGATAAAAAGAAAAAAGAGGAAGATGATGATGAGGATGAGGAAGAGGAGGAGGAGGACCTCGAAAAGATCATCGCCCGTGAAAAGGAGGAGCTCACCAAGGTCCACTCGATGCTCCGCTCGGACATTCTCTCCATCGAAGCTGACCTAAAGCAGGTCAAAGATTATTCCTTGGTGGAAAGCCTTCGTCTTCAGCACCTCTCCTCCGCCTCTTCCACCTGCAGCCGTCTTCTCGACCTTCTTTTAGAAGCTGCCCCCTTTTGCTTAACTTCCACCAGACCAGCGGCGTTCACGCCCTTCCTCCTTTCCTTCATCGCCCTCTACGTGGTGGTGGCGGGGGAGAACTTCCAACAAAATGGGATCGCCAGCAATCGTCGAACTTTTCTGGAAGGAGTTAGTCAGCTGAGGAGCTTCCTAATCTCCGTAAAAGACGGGGGCGGGGCGATGATGGCCGCTTTTGACGCCCGAGTCGCCGCCATTCGACACTACTTTGTCGATGAGCCGCTCTACGCCCGCATGGGCCCCACCTCGGCGCGGCCTGTCTATACCGCCTTCTACGATGAGCTCCTCCGGCGGCCCGTTTACGTCGACTACGGCTTTTCCCTGCCCTGCCCTGATCCGTTCTGCTTTACCGAGGCAAAACGCCTCAAGCGGGTCATCGTCACGGTGGAGGGCGTCGACCCTCTGCCCAGTTACCTGAAGATCAAGCCCACCGACCTGTCGGGGCCGGTGAAGCGGTGGTACGTGGGGGCAATCAACGACCGCTATCGGGAGTACTTTGAGCGAGGATTCAGTGCTCTGGACGGCCTGGCGAAGGTGGCCAATGTCAATGTCGGCGGTGAGGGTGGAAATAGTAATTTTTTGTAGACAAAACAAAGATAAAGATTTTAATTCTATTTACTATTTACTGTCGGTATTCAGTAAATCAGCTTGTCAAAACAGGTTTTGTTTAGTGCTCTCTTAAACAGTCAAAGTAGTAGTAGTATCATATTCATACCACCAATCAGGATATTCACGCACCTTCTTGGTAGTCTTGTCCTCCTCCTCTTCATCATCGTTTTTAGGTGACGGAGTTTTAGAGGTGGCGGTGGTGGTGCTGGTGGCGTCTGGATCAGGCGGCGGCTTCTGCGTGCTCGGCCGCCAGCTGTCCGGCACCTGGTAGAAGAGGAAGAACCAGGCGCGAACGCCCGCCTCCTTTCCCCGGTCGTGGTCGCCCTTTCCCTGTTTGACCCAGGTGCCAATGCCAAATTCGGTCAGCTCCTTAATTTGAGTCTCATTCGTCAGGTAGCGCTGGTTGTTGTCGCAGGTGTAGACAATTTGGGAGTATTTTGAAGTGTCGCTTTTTTCGGAAAAAAAGAATTTGAGAAGCGATNGTGGTCGCCCTTCCCCTGCTTGACCCAGGTGCCGACGCCCAGCCCGGTCAGCTCCTTAATTTGAGTCTCATTGGTCAGGTAGCGCTGGTTGTTGTCGCAGGTGTAGACAATTTGGGAGTACTTTGAAGTGTCGCTTTTTTCGGGAAAAAAGAATTTGAGAAGCGATTCAACGGTGGCGCACTGAAACTTGTCATCCGGCTTCTTCTCCCATATGGCCTTGCCCACCTGGGCGTAGGCGCATTCGTTTGGTTTGTACTGCCAGTCGACCGGCCCGGTCTTTGCCCAGGCATTAGCAATTTCATTTAAATCAGATTTATATTTTATATTTGTGTCGTACTTGTGATTAAATGCGAATGCAGTTCTATTACCAAGATCTTCATAAAAAAATTTGCTAAATGTGTTGCCGCTGTGTGCACTGTAGCACTTTTCCTTTATAAGCAAACAAAAACGTGTAGCAATTAGTAATTTAATTAAAAAACATTTTGAACACTTACACGAGCATGCACATTGTTCAACAAGAAAGCAAAGGTAACAAAAGTTGTAAATAAAATGGTCGACAAAGCCATGTTGTTGATTTTAATTTTAACAACCAACAATCAACAAGTGGCAGCAACACAACAAACATTGAACAGCACCAACTAAAACGAAGGCATTTTATAGCCACAAATTGTTGCACCAAATTAAACTTAATTTGTTACATAGTTAAAAATTAAAAATGAAAGCATTTTTATGTTTTCTGATGATCTTGTGACAACATGTTCCTAGTAGAATGACAACACAGTTTTTTCTAATAATTTTTAATTAGTTGTATGTAATAGTCGCAGTGGATCACTACACGTTTGTCATTGAAAAACGGTGTAATTTTTGAAAAAACAGCATCATCAACTGCGCTCGCCAAAAATCACTGTACCTTAAAATTAAATAACTTTGTTGTTGGAATCATAAACCGTAAAACAATTTTAAAAAATTAAAACTTTATTTTTTAATTTTTACAACAACAATTTAGTTTTAAACAAAAGGTTAACTTTATTAGGATCAGTGAATCAAATGAACAAATTCTTGTTTGTGTAATTTACTTAAAAAATATTGTTTTTAAATGTCAAATATTTTTGCAGATTTGTTTGTTTTTTGATCATCTTTTTGTCTACTCTTGATTGGGGTCAATTTTAGCACTGCTAGTATTATCGGCATTTTCTGTAGTCAAAACGGTGGTCTCCACTGGTTCCGGTGTTTCAGTGAGCACTGTATCAGGCTCTGTTGTCTGGTCATGAGGCTTCTTTGTTTTCTTAGGAGGGCTTGTCGGCTTGCTGGCAGGTTTGAGAGTAGTTTTTGGAGCTGGTTTTGAGGTTGATTTTTTTGTAGTTGGTTTAGTAGTTGTTGTATTAGTTTTTGTATTAGGCTTTCCTGTGGTTGTTGAGGTTGGTTTTGTAGTACTCGGCTGAGCAGTAGTGCTAGAGGGCGAGGGTTTAACTGTGGTAGTTGTTGAGATTGGTTTTGCTGTTGTTGACGGTCCGGTAGTTGCATCCGGATCCGGCGGCGGTGTCACCGTGTAATGTATTGGCTTTAGATCATTAGGGTAGTCCCAGTAGAGAAAAACCCACACCTGAACACCCAATTTGTCTCCTTTTCCTCGGTTGTTTTTCATTTTGTTTGCGTAAACTCCAAGTCCTGCATAGGTCATTCTTTGCAATGTAGTATCATTTGCACTTTGATACGTATTACAAGTGTAACCAATAGGTTTTTTTAAAGCCGAAAAATGAAGGGCAACATCTGTAATATTAAGATTTGGATAATGGTTTTCAGATGTAAGCATCCAAAAAGAAACTCCTTGTTGGGCGAATTTGCATTCACTAGCGTTGTAATCTCCCTCAGGTTTTGATAATGCATAATTAAAAGCCACATGTCTTATATCTGCAACACTATTAAGTTGTTCATAATTTATAAATTTTTTTTTCAATTCGTTAGTCATTATTGAAAAAAATTTTCTATCAAGTTTATCATTATAAAATTCGTCATCTCCAGCTGGAATATTATATACCTAAACATCATTTTAATAAATTAAAACAAAAAATATATGTTAATGACATTTAAAAACTTACGTCGGGCAAATCATCTTTAGCTAAATTCACATTCAATGTCAAAAAAGTTGAATAAATAACTATGTTTAAAATCAAATTAAGTTTTAACATTTTAACATTAAATTAATTTAAAACATCAAGTTTAAAAATTAAACATAAAAAATGTTTTTAAGAATAAATTAACTTTATTTATACAAAAAACTTTTAGTAATTTTTTTACAAAATTTATGGTTTTTGCCAGTCACATGGCTTTTTAAATACACAACCTGCAATTTAAAAAAATTTAAACATAAAAGCATTAAAATACAACAATTTTTTTGTTTTTTATAATTTCTGCTTGGTTGATTAATTCAAATGTAAAAAATAAATGTTATTAACACATAATTTTACGCAAAAACGTTGAAAATTATAACAAAAAATGCGCATCAAAATAATATAAAGTTTAAAAATAGATTGGCAAACAAACTGCATTACATTGCCAATTTTAAAACTACGTCAATGTCAGCTTAAAGATTGGTTAATAATAAAAAAATATTCAATGACGCAAAAAAAGTTTCACAAACTGTTGTTCTGTTTTTAAGGTTCACGGTTAGCTCATTTGAATGTCCCCCTTTCCAGTTGTTGATCCATTTTGGCACTGCTTATAATCTTAATCTGCATAAAGTTTAGTGGTAAACAACAATCAAGTTTGTGGTGTCACTGCCACTTTCCACACTATTCCACTAATCCTTGACCAATTTCAATTAACTTAGTGTGACAAAGTGGCCGTTGACAATGGTGCACTTGGCAACAAAACGCTGTGACAAAAAAATTGGAAATTTCCCATTATTCCTTTATATTTTGCTAAATTCTGTGGCATATTTTCACAGTGCAAAAAGTTTTGAGCAACTTCTCTTGTTCTTCCTGTGGTGCAGATTCCACATAGATTCCTTTGCTTTTTATTGATCAACTGAAAAGTGGGTATATAAACGCCAGGAAAAGGAAAGGAGAAAATTGTCAAACTAAACTGGAGCAATCTCGATTTTTTCAAACCACCAAATTTTCACACTTAAACTTTCAATTTTTTAAACAAAAAACTTTCCTAATCATGCACTTCATTCTCCTTCTCGCTCTAGTGCCCAGCTTGTGCGTCCTCAGCGTGGACATTCCTTCTCAACCTGAATCACCGGTGGGAGGATATTTTGGAAACCAGCAGCTCCTAACCGGCTTCGACAACGCCCAACTTTCCGCCGCCAACAATGAGATCAACTCAGAAAGTCCTGGTGCCGGCCAGCTGGTGGACGACAAAAAGTCCGCCACTTCCTCCTCCTCGGTGACCCGTCATCAATTTAAAGTTTGCAGTTCGATGACCATCCTTCCGCTGCACGACTACGGCTCCTGCAGTCGAACCATTCACCGACTGGCCGGTGCTGTTTGTCGAGGAATAGGAAACGGAAGCGGAAACCTTGGAGTAAATAGCCTCGGCTTTGGTGGTCGAAGGCGTCGAAGTAGCAGCAGCAGCACCGGAAGTGCTGGTGGTGATGAATTTACCGGTGAGGAAGAGCTCGAGGAAGCTCTGCTTGAGTTTACCAACGGCAATCGCAACCACCACCAAAACGGTTTTTGGGCTCAAGGTAAGCTCTTTCTTTACCTGCTAAAAATGTTTTAATGCTAAAACCTCAAAAATCTCACTTTTTCATTTTAATTTATTTTTCAGAGCAACAACAGTCGAAACGCGCAGCTAACTTCTATGGAAATCAGCAGCAGCAGCAGCAACCTCAATTTCAGCAAACTCAGCAGCAGCAGCAGCCGGCAATGTACGGTGGGCACCACCACGGTGGTCTGATTTCAGTGGGTCATCATGAGCAGGTGAAGAAGGAGCTGATTCGAAAGTGCTGCAAGTACAGCAACGTCTGTCAGATTGAGTTCGTCGTGGAGAACCTCAGTGACAGCTGCAATGGACAGCACTCTTATCAGCAGCAGCAGCAGCAGAAGGAGCAGCCTCTGCATGTGGCCAAGGCGAGGGCCTAAAATTCTTTTAAATTGCAAATGCATTTTTCATTTTTTGATTTACTACCAAAGTCACAAATGTTCTCTCTCTCAGCTGTTTCAGTGTTTAATTTGCTGTAAAGCTTACTTTTCTTTCAAAACTCATTCAAGTTGAATGTTGCCCTCTTTCTCTTTTTCTCTCTATTTTTCCCTCTTTGCTTTTATGTAAAACTTGTTGAATTTTTTAATTGAATAAAAATTCGTCTCTATATTTGAAAAAAACAAAGAAAACTGATTTTATTTTTTGTTTGATTTTTTTGGAACAACAAAAATGTTGTCAGTTGATCAATGCGTGCTTCTTTTGGTCAAGTCATGTGAACACATTTTTTAACATTCAAAACTCTAGTGGTGATTTTGATGCTGATACTGTAATCTTATACTTTACAAAATATTATTTTTAACCTTTTCAAATTGTTCCAAACTTGTACCTGCGCTGTACTTTTTTGCTGTTTGTTTTTGCAACTTTATTGTAACAAAATTCTCCAAAATCTAATTACAATAAAGATTGAAATATGAATTCAGCCAGAAAAAGAACATTGGTCGTGGCTAAATTTTTTGCTATGACGTCTGCGGATTGTGAGGGTGATGATGATGATGATGGCGGTCTAGACGGGGAATTAGTGTTCAAGTTGTGCTGGTAGTGGTGATGGTGGTGGTAGACGTGATAAAGAACGTTCCAAACTTAGCAAGATAATCCGAGCTGACATTCAAAATCTCTGGTGGTAAAGGTCAAGTGCACATGCAAATGAGCTGCTGATGATGATGGTAAACAACTTCAACTGTCAACTTCAGACTTGAACATGCACAAAACTAAAGTGAAAAAAACAATCCAAAAAAATCTGAGACAAACAACAAAACAAATTAACTGGCATGTGATTCTAACCACCAGCTAAATCCAATCAGATTCAGAAGAAAAAACTGCAAAAAGTTTTTAACGAGCTAATCTTGGTGAACTTGAAAACAAAACGAAAAAAATAAGTTGACCACGACTAGCACAGAAAAGATTATCCCCAGCGAACAAACAGCTCAGCGGATTTAGAAGTGGCTGGCTGATTGGTGGTAATTCGAAACCAGGGGAAAAGACTACTGCCGCATTTCCGATCCAGAATAGAGCATTCCCTCTATTATGTCAGTCATCTTTGCTGGGGTATAAAAGTGGCCAGTGAGGTGCTCATTTGGCTAACAGATCAGCAGCAAAAACGAGGCACTGCAAACTTCAAAATCGAAAAATCGAAACTCTTACTAAACTCCCGAGATGTTCTTCTCACCTCTAATTTTCACCTCGGCGCTGCTCTTTCTCTCAAGTTGCTGCTTTCCAAAGCCAACTTTGAGTTTTTCCCTTGAGCAAGTCGGCGAATCGCCGGGTGCCTCCTCTCAACTTCTTCAACCCTCCAACTGGAACACAGCCACCGGCGACCTTCTTTCCTCCTCCCACTCCCACGCCCACAAGGACATCCGAGGAGGCGACTTAAACTCCGCCATCTACGGAGAGTCAGGGCAGCAGCCCTTAACTTCAGAGCAATCGTTCCACCGAGGTTCACCACTTCCTCTAAGCGTGGCCCTCGGTGAGCAGCTGAAGAAGGCGCTTTTTAAAACAGCTGTGGGCGTTCCGGGCGCCTCGACGCCTCCGCAGGAGTTCAGCGTCGCCGGCATGCTGAAGATGACGCCCATACGGGAGCCCACTTGCAATGAAACTATTAGTCGAATGTTTGCCGCCATTTGTGGCAATGGAAAAGAAGGAGGTGTTCAAGAAGGAAGTGGGGCATTTCCGGCTGGCTCTTTTGAAGTTCCAATTCCGGGAGTTTCCGCCGCCGCCGGTCCTCGGGGCTTCATTCATCACCACCAACAGCAGTTGCAGCCTGGAGAACAAATGGGAGGCTATCGTGTGAGGCGGTCTTCAGGTAATCAGATGCTTTTGAAGATATGCTTTTCAAAATGGTAATCTTTCCACTTTTCCTTCTTCTTAGGATACCTCGAAACGGCCTACCTTCGAAACTTCTTCGGCAAGCGGTCAGCCCTGCTGGCGGCCACCGAGGACTTCCGCGCCCAGACGGAGCTGCTGATGGGTCGGTGCTGTGTTCCGCTGCGGGAGGACCAGGTCCACTGTAGCATCGCCGATGTTGGCCGCCAGCTGCAGGACCTCTGCAAGCCGAACCGGCACGGAAGTCGATCGGTGCTCAATGCCTGAGCGAGATGAAGAAGAAGAAAAAGATGAAGAAGAAGACGATTTGCATCAAATGGTCTTCTGATTCCAAAATTAAATTTTTCATAAAACTCTTGAGCCACATACTAGGGGCTAATTTTTGGCACTGGCATTTCATTAACTTACTTACTTTCTCTATTGCTTGCTTGCTTGCATCTTTCTTTGCAGCACACAAATTCACACAATTTGACTTACTATTACTACTACTGTACAATTCTTAGAGGGAAAAATAAAAACTAAAAGCGGGATTTTCTTGACGTCTTCATTCAAACTTTGACTTGGAACAAAAGTTGTTGACAAAAAATATGTGGGGAGATAAAAAAAGATTAAAAGTTG